TCTAGCCCCTTCCAGAGCTGAGATATCGAAACTCAAAAATTCGGCCCGAAAAAAAAACGACAGTGGTACCCCTTACGTTTTTTTTTTTGGGCGAAAAATTAAGTTTCTCCAATCTTCTCAAAACTCTGGATTCTGATAGAGGGCCATGAGACTTAGACCTGAGTGCAAAAATGGAGGCTCTAGCCCCTTCCAGAGCTGAGATATCGAAACTCAAAAATTCGGCCCGAAAAAAAAAACGACAGTGGTACCCCTTACGTTTTTTTTTTTGGGCGAAAAATTAAGTTTCTCCAATCTTCCCAAAACTCTGGATTCTGATAGAGGGCCATGAGACTTAGACCTGAGTGCAAAAATGGAGGCTCTAGCCCCTTCCAGAGCTGAGATATCGAAACTCAAAAATTCGGCCCGAAAAAAAAAACGACAGTGGTACCCCTTACGTTTTTTTTTTTGGGCGAAAAATTAAGTTTCTCCAATCTTCTCAAAACTCTGGATTCTGATAGAGGGCCATGAGACTTAGACCTGAGTGCAAAAATGGAGGCTCTAGCCCCTTCCAGAGCTGAGATATCGAAACTCAAAAATTCGGCCCGAAAAAAAAACGACAGTGGTACCCCTTACGTTTTTTTTTTTGGGCGAAAAATTAAGTTTCTCCAATCTTCTCAAAACTCTGGATTCTGATAGAGGGCCATGAGACTTAGACCTGAGTGCAAAAATGGAGGCTCTAGCCCCTTCCAGAGCTGAGATATCGAAACTCAAAAATTCGGCCCGAAAAAAAAAACGACAGTGGTACCCCTTACGTTTTTTTTTTTTGGGCGAAAAATTAAGTTTCTCCAATCTTCTCAAAACTCTGGATTCTGATAGAGGGCCATGAGACTTAGACCTGAGTGCAAAAATGGAGGCTCTAGCCCCTTCCAGAGCTGAGATATCGAAACTCAAAAATTCGGCCCGAAAAAAAAAACGACAGTGGTACCCCTTACGTTTTTTTTTTTGGGCGAAAAATTAAGTTTCTCCAATCTTCCAAAACTCTGGATTCTGATAGAGGGCCATGAGACTTAGACCTGAGTGCAAAAATGGAGGCTCTAGCCCCTTCCAGAGCTGAGATATCGAAACTCAAAAATTCGGCCCGAAAAAAAAACGACAGTGGTACCCCTTACGTTTTTTTTTTTTGGGGCGAAAAATTAAGTTTCTCCAATCTTCTCAAAACTCTGGATTCTGATAGAGGGCCATGAGACTTAGACCTGAGTGCAAAAATGGAGGCTCTAGCCCCTTCCAGAGCTGAGATATCGAAACTCAAAAATTCGGCCCGAAAAAAAAAACGACAGTGGTACCCCTTACGTTTTTTTTTTTGGGCGAAAAATTAAGTTTCTCCAATCTTCTCAAAACTCTGGATTCTGATAGAGGGCCATGAGACTTAGACCTGAGTGCAAAAATGGAGGCTCTAGCCCCTTCCAGAGCTGAGATATCGAAACTCAAAAATTCGGCCCGAAAAAAAAACGACAGTGGTACCCCTTACGTTTTTTTTTTTTGGGCGAAAAATTAAGTTTCTCCAATCTTCTCAAAACTCTGGATTCTGATAGAGGGCCATGAGACTTAGACCTGAGTGCAAAAATGGAGGCTCTAGCCCCTTCCAGAGCTGAGATATCGAAACTCAAAAATTCGGCCCGAAAAAAAAACGACAGTGGTACCCCTTACGTTTTTTTTTTTTGGGCGAAAAATTAAGTTTCTCCAATCTTCTCAAAACTCTGGATTCTGATAGAGGGCCATGAGACTTAGACCTGAGTGCAAAAATGGAGGCTCTAGCCCCTTCCAGAGCTGAGATATCGAAACTCAAAAATTCGGCCCGAAAAAAAAACGACAGTGGTACCCCTTACGTTTTTTTTTTTTGGGCGAAAAATTAAGTTTCTCCAATCTTCTCAAAACTCTGGATTCTGATAGAGGGCCATGAGACTTAGACCTGAGTGCAAAAATGGAGGCTCTAGCCCCTTCCAGAGCTGAGATATCGAAACTCAAAAATTCGGCCCGAAAAAAAAAACGACAGTGGTACCCCTTACGTTTTTTTTTTTTGGGCGAAAAATTAAGTTTCTCCAATCTTCTCAAAACTCTGGATTCTGATAGAGGGCCATGAGACTTAGACCTGAGTGCAAAAATGGAGGCTCTAGCCCCTTCCAGAGCTGAGATATCGAAACTCAAAAATTCGGCCCGAAAAAAAAAACGACAGTGGTACCCTTTACGTTTTTTTTTTTGGGCGAAAAATTAAGTTTCTCCAATCTTCCCAAAACTCTGGATTCTGATAGAGGGCCATGAGACTTAGACCTGAGTGCAAAAATGGAGGCTCTAGCCCCTTCCAGAGCTGAGATATCGAAACTCAAAAATTCGGCCCGAAAAAAAAACGACAGTGGTACCCCTTACGTTTTTTTTTTTGGGCGAAAAATTAAGTTTCTCCAATCTTCTCAAAACTCTGGATTCTGATAGAGGGCCATGAGACTTAGACCTGAGTGCAAAAATGGAGGCTCTAGCCCCTTCCAGAGCTGAGATATCGAAACTCAAAAATTCGGCCCGAAAAAAAAAACGACAGTGGTACCCCTTACGTTTTTTTTTTTTGGGCGAAAAATTAAGTTTCTCCAATCTTCTCAAAACTCTGGATTCTGATAGAGGGCCATGAGACTTAGACCTGAGTGCAAAAATGGAGGCTCTAGCCCCTTCCAGAGCTGAGATATCGAAACTCAAAAATTCGGCCCGAAAAAAAAACGACAGTGGTACCCCTTACGTTTTTTTTTTTGGGGCGAAAAATTAAGTTTCTCCAATCTTCTCAAAACTCTGGATTCTGATAGAGGGCCATGAGACTTAGACCTGAGTGCAAAAATGGAGGCTCTAGCCCCTTCCAGAGCTGAGATATCGAAACTCAAAAATTCGGCCCGAAAAAAAAACGACAGTGGTACCCCTTTCGTTTTTTTTTTGGGCGAAAAATTAAGTTTCTCCAATCTTCTCAAAACTCTGGATTCTGATAGAGGGCCATGAGACTTAGACCTGAGTGCAAAAATGGAGGCTCTAGACCCTTCCAGAGCTGAGATATCGAAACTCAAAAATTCGGCCCGAAAAAAAAACGACAGTGGTACCCCTTACGTTTTTTTTTTTTTGGGCGAAAAATTAAGTTTCTCCAATCTTCTCAAAACTCTGGATTCTGATAGAGGGCCATGAGACTTAGACCTGAGTGCAAAAATGGAGGCTCTAGCCCCTTCCAGAGCTGAGATATCGAAACTCAAAAATTCGGCCCGAAAAAAAAAACGACAGTGGTACCCCTTTCGTTTTTTTTTTTTGGGCGAAAAATTAAGTTTCTCCAATCTTCTGAAAACTCTGGATTCCGATAGAGGGCCATGAGACTTAGACCTGAGTGCAAAAATGGAGGCTCTAGACCCTTCCAGAGCTGAGATATTGAGATCCCATGTAGCATTTATGCCATTATAAATATCTCAATATCTCAGCTCTGGAAGGATCTAGAGCCTCCATTTTTGCACTCAGGTCTAAGTCTTTATATTTCCTGCTTTATATTTTGGGGTGAAGTGTGACCAAGATCTGGTTTTGTTGAGATTCACACACTGACTGTGGTGTGTGTGTGTGAGGGTGTGTGTGCGTGTGTTTGTGTGTGTGCACCTGCTGTCTGGTCTAGTACACAGTAGTGCAGTGCCAGATCAGTGCTGTGTGTAATAAGCCCATTAGTGTTTATGTGGATGAGTGCGTGTTGGCGCTGATTGTGTCCTCTTCTCATCCGCTCCTCCACTACTCCAGCATCTGACTGCCAACACTCACTTCAGTCCCTAATATGAAGACATGTTGTGATGGATCCATGTCAATATCAGGATTCTGATAACACCTGGTTTGGCCTATACATCCTTTAACATATCTCAGCTCTGGAAGGGTCTAGAGCCTCCATTTTTGCACTCAGGTCTAAGTCTCATGGCCCTCTATCAGAATCCAGAGTTTCAAGAAGATCAGAGAAACTCAAAATTTCGACCAAAAAAAAAAAAAACGACAGTGGTACCCCTTTCGTTTTTGTTTTTTTTCGGGGCGAGAAATTAAGTTTCTCCAATCTTCTCAAAACTCTGTATTCTGATAGAGGTCCATGAGACTTGATTGCAAAAATGGAGGCTCTAGACCCTTCCAGAGCTGAGGTATTGAGATCCCACGTAGCATTTTTGCCATTATAAATATCTCAATGTCTCAGCTCTGGAAGGGTCTAGAGTCTCCATTTTTGCACTCAGGTCTAAGTCCCATGGCCCTCTATCCGAATCCAGAGATTCAAAAAGATCAGAGACACTCAAAATTTCGACAATGTCATGTCAAAATATCAACATGTCATGAACACTACTGAACACTAGGTGGCCATTACAGAGTTCCATCTTTTGGACATTCATCATACCGCATTGGTTTTCTTTTCTTGTCCTCAAAACAGGGCACTAATCTGTTTATTTTTAAGTGTTTGTAGTATTATTTTATACGGAAATCAATTATTTATAATTATTAGTTTAATAAACAAACTAATTATATGAAACTATTATCAGTACACTACAAATAAACTGGTTCTATGCCTTTATTAGTAAATGAAATCTAAGCCTTTATTAATATACTTTATTATTTTTAAGACATTTATAAAAATGCCTTCTATCTTTCTTTTCACTCCACTGTACTCCACCACAGGCGACTGCACGTATGGAACTGACACTTGATTATTGTCATTTCACCATATTTTTGAACAGTGTGTTTACTTGGAAATATTACTGTATATTTTTAATTTATATTTCCATCGTAAGTCTGGTGTTAAATGTAATTTAGAAATGGTATTAAAAAGTCTTAAAATTAAAATGTTTATACCTGTAGCCACCCTGTCATGGTTTACACTGCTTTATCATTTCCCATAAATCCTAAGAGTTTCTATTGATTTCGATCAAGCATTAAAATCTAATCACACCTTCATGGTTTATTATTTGGAGACAAACATTAAAGATAGCTTGTTGTATTTCTTTTATTTGCTTTAGAAAATGAGCAATGGAATTCAACATCCTGGTCATTTTGAGGCTTTCTAATAGATAGCAAAGGTTATTTTCAATCTACCTGCCAATGGAATTAATACATAATGTCCTCAACAGATTAGTCAGAGAAATTGTAGGTAATTCAGTTTTTTTAATACCTCAACATTGACTACGTATATACCGCAGATTCATCTTCAAAGTGGTTGCAGAAGCCAAAGCATTTAGATCCTGTTTACCCTCCTGACAGACAACACTACAGCACTGACCAGTGTCCTCACACATGGTGCAAAATAAAAGTTTGACACATGCATCAAAATGCATATCAGGTCCATGCTATCTCACACAGCAAAGACATGGAAGACTTGGGGAAAAGTCTGCTGTTCCAGCAGAAACATGACCAACAGTACAAATCCAGCATGGCAAGTTGAACTACATCCACATGTGGATGATTGTCCCTTTTAGCAACACATCTCTATTTTATCACAGTGCACTGATTTTCAACAGAAATAATCAGTTCTGTCAAATCGATTAATCAAAAGTTTGTGTGCAAACACACGAATGATATTTACAAACTTTAACGTTAGATGTGATTAATCACAATTAATCTATTTGACACCACTAGAAATAAAATAGAAACTAATAGCTGTCAATTAAGGGCAAAATAAAAAAAACAAAAGGAATGCTCTTTACATGTCTTCTCAATGGCAATTATTTATAAATCATGAGCAGAACAGTGCAAATCATTTGTATAAAACATTTATGCAAGCTGTTGACTTCAATGAGGCCCATACAATTTCTTCAGTACCTCTCAACTATACCAGACACTTAGTCTTCTTTGTTGTCAAAGTCTTTTGAAAATCCCAGATCATTTTTTATGTAACTTCAGTTCAAATGATACAAGAAAACGAAACATTTTGACTCATATCTTCATTGCTGTGTGCTCCTCGCTGCATTGTTGATTCATTCAGCTGGTTTGCTCTGAGTTTTGTAGGCCTGCTTTCGAAGGTGAGTCTCAATCTCCTCCCTGAACACAAGCATGCCCAGATGAGAGTGTGACGCCTCATTCATGGCCTTGGACTGGATGCACATGCGGTACTGTTCCGGGGTCAGCTCGTCTGCGCACAGCTTCTCGTGCCACAGGTGGAAGAGGCCCGACACAGGGGTCCGGATCACAATATGTTCACTCCGTAGGTACTTCCTGTACAAGTGCACATCTTCTACACCCCAGCCTTTCACTTCCAGATCAAATCCTCCTAGAAAACAAAAAAATGGGAGTTTATTTATATGATTAAAGCAAATGATCTTTTTATTGTAATTTCATGTATCAGATGCACTAGTAGTCTCACACGTGCATTCGTTTTTGAAGGATTTTTTTTCTCCAAAAATATAGTAAAAACAGCAATATTGTGAAATAATATTATAATTTAAACTAATTGTTTTCCATTTAAAAACACTTTAAACTTGTATTTATTCCTGTGATGGCAAAGCTGTCACATGATCCTGGCTGATTTGCTCCTCAAGAAACAGTTCCTATTATTATTGACTCAGCATATTAGAATGATTTCTGAAGACTGTAGTAATGATGTTGAAAATTGTTATCTATGTATATATATATATATATATATAAGTTATTAACTTACCAATGCTAAGGAAGTCAGAGCGATACTGACAAGTCATGCCAAATCCAAAATCCCTCCAGAATCCAGCATCTTTTTTATGAATCTATAAATGGCATACAATTGTCTTGTTTTCTTTTGAATCACAAGAAAGCCATACGTTCAAAAAAAATAAAATATCTTGGTTACATACCAGCTGACTCTCAATTGGGGGTGGAAATTCAAGATTTCCATAAACTATAGCTGGATTGTACAAACTGAAAACCACCGGATAGAAAACACGTTTTCCTGCAAAGGAGATTTGTATTAATATATTTTTATTATATTTTTAGTACACGAATGATTCTTGTACAGTTCTGTTAACCATGCATTAAAAAATGCCATTAATTTACTTGCTACATATCATATTATCACTGTTTATTACTGCTTAGAAAACAAACTGAAAGTACATGCATCATTTAGTACAATCAAACGAATCCAAAATTGGAGAAATATGGATGTTTTTTCTAATAATTTGTAATTTTCAGATATAAAATGATAGTTGAGATGACAAACCTGAAGCTGTATTGAGACGACAGGTACTAAGAAATTCCAGTGTGAAGTAGATGTCAACGTCACAGAAGAACATCAACACGTCACCCCCTTTTTCCCATGCGTGAGCTCCAATGTCAAGACCACGGCCCCGCGAAAACTCCTCATCCACTGGGATCAGAGTGTAGTTACTGAAGTTCTCCTCACTGGAAAGGATCATGAATAACAGTAGGAAACAAAAGGCTTAGAAGAGGCATAGAAGATTTATACCAACCATACTGGGTAATAACATGCGTTTACAATCTTTACCATCACACACTACCGTTTAGAAGTTTGGGGTTGATATAATTTTTTTGAAAACAAAAAGTCTATTTGCTCACCATGACCATATTTATTAGATAATAAAAAAATAAGAAAAACTGTAAAATGAACTGTTTTCGATGTTAATATATTTTAAAATGTCATGTATTCCTGTGATGGCAAAGCTGAATTTTCAGCCTAATTACTGTCTTCAGTGTCACATGATCCTTCAGAAATCATTCAAATATTCTGATTTGCTGCTCAAGAAACATTACTTATTTGTGATATTCATGAAAGCAGTTGTTCTGCTAAATATTTTTGTGGCAACCACGGTATACAGTATATTTTTAGGATTATTTAAAAAAATTCAAAAGCACAGCATCTATTTGTAGTAGAAATCTTTTGTAATGTTATGAATGTCTTTAGCGTCACTACTGATCCACTCAATGCATCTTCGCTGAATAAAACATCATTTCTTTCTGGGGCTGCACGATATTGAAGAAAAATACTATATGATGCTTAAAGTGTGTAAATTAAACTTAAATTATATAACCAACTTACATTTTTTTCACATTCTTTTTGTCAAAAGAAAGCATCACTTCAACTTCTGAAAGTGAACAGCAATGTTTTACTGCATCATAAGTGTCATTTTAACATGAATGTAACCAGGAGGTTTAGGTTTCAGGTAGGCCTACATTAGGTTTACGTAACAGAAACTGAATAATCAAATGTAGATATAAAACACTGCTTAGTCTTCATTGCATGAATTAAATATATACTGATTCTTATTAAAGCTACAAAAGTTATTTTAGTCATTTTTTTAGACATTTGTTCAACCCCCGTTATTGTAGTTAATATGCATATATGCATATTTGCAATATATTGCACGGCCAATAAAAATCTTAGACTTTTTTTTTTCAATGGTAGTGTAAAGACGATTTGAATTACTTTAAGAGTTTTACTGCCCCATTAAGATGGGTAAACAGCAAATTCCTTTTCCTTGGGTTTCCTCCATTTAGGATCAGTGCAATATCACAAAACATTTGCAAAGCTCAAACCTGGACATTTTCCTCAGAGACGCCTTCACCTCCTGCAAGCCCGCCTGACCAAAATACACCACTGTGAGATGCACTCGTTTATCCTGCTGTACACAAACCTCCCTGCACACAGAAAACACCATCTGATCACAACATTTCCAAAACTACCAAAAAGAAAACTGTACTGGAAACCATTCCCTTGTAAAACTGCGTAATCTGGCTGCATTCCACACATCTTTAGAAGCTACAGCCATATGGTTTGCAGCACACAAAAACACGCTGACACACACATTCCCAGAATCTCTTTTGCATGCTTGGTGAAATTTTGTTTAAAATCCAGTCATTTTAATAGGAATCCACATGATAGGGAGTTTTGTGTGCATGAGGGCAAAACATTTTGCACATTCCCAAAAAAACTTAGCAGGTTGAAGTTAGTCAAGTGAATTCATCGTGTTGACTATCAGAAAGCTACTTGGATTAGAGTTCTGTGTCATCAGTGCTTCATAAATCACTATTGACAATGAACAATGGATCTTATGGTCTATGAATTATGCTATTTGTAGGCTAAAACACTTTTAAAACTCTTCCGGTTCCATCATCCTCAAGTGTTCGTGAACACAAGATCAAGATATTTTTACATTTTAATCTAAGACATAAAATAAATCAGTCAAAAAATATATATACAGATGCCTCATTTGTGGCTGTTTCTAAGGGCCTGTATAGACCATTTCACAAGATGTAAACAACACTGGTCCAGAAGCACTTCCTGTTTCAGTTTTTTAACACTACATAAAAGCTGGGATAAAATACAACCAACAGAACATTTAAAACTGAATCAAAAAGTTAAACAAACATCTTAAAGATGTTTTCTTCACATGTGAAATAAAGAAAACAGTTACAAACTGAAACAGGAAGTGCTTCTGGACCAGTGTTGTTTACATCTTGTGAAATGGTCTATACATATGCCGTCCGCCATATTGGAACAGTCAAAGCTGACTGTTGCCTGAACGTCTGCAACCGACAGTTAGACACGTTTGAATCTGCAATAAACTTCAGCAGATGATTTTGCAAAACTAACCCAATACAAGACAATGCAGTCATCTAACAAGACATTAAAAAGTACCATAGTAAAAACCTGTATTATTGAGTTGAACTTGATTTAAAAATACAACCCAAAACAATCTCACCTGTGAAAGGTTATCCCATTTCTTCTGGAATTTAAATCTCGGTCGTTTGACTATCAAAAGCTGTGAAATATTGTGGAATCATTGATTATTACTGTGAGTTACAACACGCTGACTGTTCCAAGGTGGCATCTGCAATCTAGGTATACACATGTCTATGAAATGAGTAATACACCACTCATACCAAAAAAAAACAAAAAAAAAAAACATTTTTTTTCCTTGTCTTGAAATCCAGTTGCTAACAAGAGGCTAAACCGGACTACATAGGTTGTTGGGTTAAACATTATCAGCCGAACAATATAACTAATATACTGTTCAACAGTATATCTTTAGACTTTAGACTTTATTTGTCCCCATAGGGCAATTGGATTTGCAGCAAGATAAGCACAGAACTGTCACAAATGCACAGACAAAACACACACATAAAAAAAAAAAAAAAAAAAAACGCTTAATATAACAGGCCCCGAGTATAAAAATCAGAGTATTGTATAAAATAAATATGACTAGTAAAACCATTTTTAAAATAACATCTAACAATTCATAATATAGCAACATTTCCATAACCATCCCCATTCCAACAACAACATCATCAAAATCAAGCAATACTATACATATGATAATAATAATCACCCCATCACTATTTAATAGCTATAGTCTGTCTGCTCCTACGGACTGAGTTAATGAACAAGATGGCTCTCGGGACGAATGAATGCTTGTATCTGTTATTCTTCACTGGAGGTAATCTATATCGAGACCCGGGAGGCAATATCTGGAACTCAGAATGAAGGGGGTGGGAGCTATCAGAGATAACTACGTTGGCCTTCCTAACTACCTGTCTATCATACAGGTCAGGTCAGGTCAATATAGTGACCTTCACTATATTGGAAAGAGCAGTTTTGGCCTTGACAGTGAGACTACCATACCAGCAAATTAATGAAAATGTTAAAACAGACTCAATGTATGATTTATAAAAAAGGGTCATGAGAGTCTTATCGAGACGAAATTTTGAAAATTTGCGAAGACAAAACAGTCTTTGTTGGCCTCTTTTGCAAAGCATTTCAGTGTTCGCCTTAAAATTTAACTTATTGCCGATAAAACTGCCTAGATACTTGTATGTTTCAACGAATTCCACGGTCTTCCCATTTATAATAGTGGACTGTGGATTTGATGACTCACGCCTAAAATCAATCTGCATATCCTTGGTCTTTTCAACATTTAGTTGCAGGAATGCCCTATCACACCAGAGTGCAAAATCATCCACAACAGGACCATGATCGTTTCGCTTTCCTCATTAGAGAGGAGACTGACAATAGCAGAATCATCAGCAAATTTTAATATGTATCTATTTTCATGCTGGCTCTCCTCAGACAAGCAACCATTCACCCTCACTCTCTGAGTCCTGTCGGTTATAAAATCAAGAATCCATCCCACGATAATAAAATCAAGGTCAAAGTTCTTTAAGAGCTTATCAACTAAAATATGTGGTTGGATTGTAACAAATAAAATTCTTGCGTGTGTTTTACTACCGTCAAGATGTTTGAATAGTAAGTTTAACAGGGTAGTAGGGGCATCATCTACCCCTCGCTTGGCCCTATAAGCGAACTGTAGTGGATCTAGGAGATTCTCTGTTTTTGTGAGTATGACTTTTTTAACCAGTTTTTCAAAACACTATTATCTACTCACTATTGCGCTTTTACAGCCTTAAAATCGAGTTCATAATCACGATTTTGCAAACGACTAAGGTGTATTCTTTTACTTCTGTCATTTGTATTTATGTGCATTTCTGAAGATTATCATGATGAAGAAAACGAGTAAGAATCATAAACTTGTCTTTGTCAAAGAGCTTATTTTCTACAACAATCCAAAAGCCAATGGAAAAAATTCTATTGGGTTTTTGTTTAAAAACCAGAGGGTGATGCTAACTAAATGCGTCATCACTGCAGCACTCTATAAGTTTACATGAGCAAACTTCCTGCAATCTTCCACATTGACCTTCTCACCTGAAGTTGTGCAAAAACTGAACAAAGACTTCAGTGCGGCCTGACAACGGCACTATGATGTTAATGATGGTGCTGGCGGTGTCTACAGACGTGCTCCTCACTTTCATGAGAGGCCCAAATGAACGGAAGAGGGTGACGTGACGGTACTCGTGGGAATTCTCTTTAGCGAAGTAGAGCTCATACAGTGTGCCTTTGTCCCTTTCGGTCCTGTAGAGTCCTGCCAAGAATAGCAAGTACACAAAAGCAGCTAGAGTTACTGAATATTTTGTGCTGTGCAAAGTTCACACCACCTTTATCATCCTCAAATACAAATAAACACTGTTGAGTACACACAAACCCTGAACACACGGTACGTTAAGTAGTATACTTCATCTGAACTCGTACCTTCAAAAAAATGGCTTTCGGTGAACATCTGCCGCTGCATGGGGATGTTGTCCTCCTGTCCGTCATCGTCTTCCGGGTTATTAAGAATTTCCAAACCCGCTTCTATCACCTCCACCAACTCATCCCTCCGGTCCTTCCGCACAGGCTTCTCCTCGGGATGGCGTGTCAGGCCCATCTCCAGCTGGTACACCTTCGTGGAGGTGAAGCTCTCAAAGGGCACAAGGGCGTACTCGCTCGGTAGCCTCGCTCCCGTATTCACCTCCGCCTTGTCGATTTGCGAGTGTAGGTACTCCAAGAGGTCACTCGGCTCTTGATCTCTTCCATCGATCAGGCTCTGTGGCCCCAGGCCCTCCTTTTTTTTTTGAAGTACCCTCAGTTTCTCGCTCATCTCTTGGAGTTCTTGTTTGAGCTGCGCAATCTGCCTCTTGAGGCTGGCCGCTCGGCTGAGATGTCGCTCTTCCTGCTCCTGCAGGAGGGCCTGGTAATACTCCTTCCCATAAGGATCTCCTCCCAGGCCAGGCAGCACCTGACTCACATCAGTAGGCGGTGTGCACTCCAGGAGGTAAGCAAAGAGCAGCAGCACCAGGATCAAAAATATACCTAGTAGAAGCCAGCGCGCCCGCCCCTGCAGAGGAAGCCCCCGTCTGGGCATAATCTGAGAGGCAGGGTGCTCTTTACCAGCCACTTTCACATTAATCCATTTCCAAGCAAAGCAGAGGAAGTATGCTAGTGTCACATTTCTCTTGTAATCTTGCTCCTCTCACACTACAGCACGTCAATCATGCTCAGATTCCTCAGAGATGTGTGAATGTACCGTTGACGCACTGTCATCCTGCTTGCACAATATTCCTCCGTTCAGAGAAACACTACATCTAAAAAGAGATTCAAATCATGAAAAACATATATTTTCTATTCAGTATTTAGACCAGACAAGAAATATTCAAAACAAAAAACTATATATAAAAGAATAGAACAGCCTACAGTCCCTTGTTTAAAAAAAAAGTTACTCCACATAAAAAATATGAATGATATACATTTTTATTAAAACGTAATTTATATAAAACGAATATCACACACACACACACACACACAAACAAAAGTAACATGTGCTATTGTAAAACTGTTGCTAGGCGAGTATTAGATTGTTGTCTACGAAGAAATGGAGTATAATTTAAGCGAATAAAAATTTAGATTCAAAAATAAGACAATAAAAACGTAAATATATCAACAATAATAATTTAATAATTAATATTATCTATCAATGTTTTCATCAGCCGTGTAATAAGCGGATTCCTGATCAACCCATCTTTGTTTTCTTTTCTTTTCTTGCCGAATAGCTCCATACACTGTATAAAACTATTCATATTTACAGCAAACAACTATATAGCGCAATGTATGTTTACACTTTAACATAAAAAAACACCCAAGACTGAATAATATTAAGTTTGTTTATAAATCCACAAGGAAACAGTTTTTATGCGCATATGGAAACATCTGGCTGATTGATCAATAATTATGATGAAAAGACATAATGGCAAATATCTAACTTACTAATTTGCGGAAGAAACATCGATGTTGCAGTTGTTTTCTTGGATGAAACAAACACGGAAATGTGCAACACTTACCTCGGCGGTTGTGATTGTATGTGGGTGGGTGTCGGTAACTGCTTCTTCTTCGTGCAACTGTTCAATAGAATACCGAGCATAATAAATGTGAGAACATTGGGAACACAACGCCACGGGGGCAATGAAAAAAGGGAAGCGTGTTCCTTCCGGTATGAGTCGCAGAATTTCAAAATAAAAGACAGAATGTCGTCTTTAGATGTTTTACAAATTGTTGAAAACTATGATATAACCCATAACTTGGACATTTTCGAAAGTCTGCTTTGAAAGAAAATCAACATACTTCCCATTTAGTTGCATTTCATGTCTTTTTTAGTTGTATTTATTTTGTGTTCGTGCTGCTGCTCTACTTTGTGCATATGTCAGGAAAAACTTTTATTATGTCTGATTTAAATAAATCTTCCCATTCATACTAGGGGAACAAAAATCGAGTGATCTCAGGTCCATTTAGTGTACAAAGGGTAGGCTACTTTTCAGATCTTTTCAGATCATTCATTAATTTTGTGGTCACACAGTGTAAGAATGATGAATTTACAGATGTCATAACATTTTAATATTTTTTATGTAAATAATTGTAGTTATTCTTTCACTCTTTCATAAAGTCTGATAATGAAATAACAAACACATAGAAATGAAACCATGACATCTTCTAACAGTTTTATTTATTGAAATGTATTGTTTTGACAACATAATGAGGAATCACACTCAGCTTTATGCATTGTAGGCCTAGTTATTGTTGAACAAATAATGTCTTTACAAGGAATAAAAATGAAACCACCATATGTCATTAAATTAAAGATATTCATACTCTGTTACGGGAAATATTCATAACTCGTGGTTAGCACAGAGCGAAATATGAATATTTAAAAAAACAAAAAGTATTTTTTTTCTGTCATATCCTGATGCATGATGAAGAAGAAACAAACTCGACTCCCTCCCTCCCCCCTCCCATCCCATGTCCAGTCTTTGAGGCAAACATCTGTAGTTGGTGATGGTAAAGAAGCTCCCTTTAATTCCTGTAGTGGGACCAAGATTGTCTCGGCCATGCATTTATAACTGGTGTTCTCTAACAGAAGCGGCACAGGCACTTAAACATGGAGATTAAACTGTACAGAGTCATGCACTGACACAATATGGCCAACAGGGCCTTGTGGTAACAATCGCCTATGAGCTGCTTGAAGCATGTTTTATGCAATTCCAGCCAATTTGAAATATTTTACCACCCTCTCATCTTCTACACAACAGCAGAAATAAAAGGGAACCGCCTTTATCATCATACAACATATATACAACATCATATAAATATACACATCTCCCCACCCCCCATGTCTTTTCCACCAATGATATTGGTTTGCGTTTTTAACTATCGAGCGTGTCCACAATTGCGGGAGAATGCAAAGCCATCCAGTTTGCATAAACACTATCATTGGCATATCTTGTAAAGACAGGGTTAGTGGCATCAAGTCTGTTGAGAGGTACCGGGCTCTTCTCTGGCCAGTTCGGGTATGACATGCCTAAAAACGAGAACATATCATTTTTCTGCACCGAGGAAGCATTAAGTCCAGACAGTAAGGCTCTCAAACCAAACTCAGCTCAGCTTTTGAACATAATTACATAAAACAGCATTTTTGGTTCATTTGAACATGTGGTATAAGCATGAAATCATTCTTTGGTCCTTTTTGAGTGCTTTTTGGTCATTCATGTCAATATTCCACTGTGGTGACATCATAAAGCATATTCTATGACGTCATCATGACATCAGTATTGTGGCTCCTGTTGTCTTTGGCATTCTATGTACATGCTTTTAACTGAAACATAATCGGTGCTCTACTAAAAGGTTGTGTGTGTGTGTGTGTGTGTGTGTGTACTCCCAAAAGTAATAAACATCAAAGAGCCCATGCATAGAAACTGTCTTACTGCTGGCCATTTTATTGCTTTTTATTCTACTTTTAATGTAATGCATTTTATGGAAAGCTGAGAAAGTCTTGCATATTTTTATGCTCTAAAAGAAGAGTTTAATTCAAAAGCCTTACTGATTTCAGAATGGACTCCATCTACTTTAAACATTAATTTTCTGTAATATGTTCAGGATATTACAGAGAGAGCACATCCAGAGCACACGGGACCTGTTTCAAATGTAAAATTCAACCTAAAGCGCTGCAAACCAATACAAATTTCACATATGATGTAAATCATAAACACATCTTAAAATATATTTTCCTCACTGAACATAGTACATTTTAAGTTGTGTCTATTTGTGTAAAAAATGATTTATTTTTTATAAATATTAATAATACTTGGAAAATTCAAATTAATATTTCAAATAATAGAGTACATCGGAAGCAGGTCCAAATTAAACATCTGATCCCTAGATCCAGACACTACAGCTCTAACTGAATCTATAAAACACGAGCAGTATTCACAAGTCACTGGCAACCATGCCATTAGCACAATCACAGCACTTCCTATGGAAGGCACAAACAAAAACTGATTTTGTTCCCTGTATTAGAATCGAGTAAATGCATGGGAAATTCTACCATAGAGCTTGTTTTCAATCCAAGTGGAGGGGAGGGTTCGAGGGAGAGGGGCGTTACTACAGTCCACTAAGGGTGTGTCCTCTTCAGAGAGGGAGTCGTCATATAGCAGGGCGTCTGCTGGTGTGGAAGCCGCGAGATCCAGATAGTCCTGATGAAGCGAAACACACAGTTATTAAATGTTACCACATATTTCTTTAAAAAAAAAAAAAAGTTCATGAGCAAAGATTTGCATTATGATGACATTTGTCTTTATTCACTAGTGAACATCCCTCACTAATAATAATTGTGAATTGTTAGCATAATAAAGTGTATGAAATCATATTAAATATAAAGTCAGTTTGACATTTAATTTATTCTAAGTTATAATTACATTTGGTTATGATGGTTGAAAATAGACGAAAACCTTAACTCTCTGCAGGAGGGTTCTTCTGTGTTCATCCATTGTTTTAAATAATGCCTTACCTTGAGGAATTCTTCATCATTATAACAACAAAAGAATAAACATACATTGCAGTTTAAAAGTTTGCGGTCAGTAATATTTTCTTTATGTTTTTGAAAGAAGTCTTGTATGCTCACTAAGGCTGCATTAGGCCTATATGATCCAGTAAAAAATGGTAATATTGTAAAATATTACAATTTAAAATGACTTTTCTATTTTAACAACTATTTACTATATATTTCTGATGGCAAAGCTTAATTTTAGGCAGCCATTACTCCAGTCCTCAGTGTCACATGATCCTTCAGAAATCTAATATGCTTATTTGTTGCTCAAGAAACATTTATTATATTACAGTCGTGCTACTTAATATTTCAGGATTCTTTTATGAATTGAAAGTTCAAATGAGCAGCATTTTTTGTTACATTACCACGTACATCACAGAGACGTCTATTTGATGTGTGCGTTTACATCTGGAAGACATCTATAGGACGTTTCCTGACAGATGTCATATAGACGTTTAGAAGATGTCTTTAAGATGTAATGATTTAGAATGTATTTTAAACTGACATCTTAAAGATTTCTATCAGATCTTAGTAAACAGCAAATGCTTTTCTAGATGAAGTGATCTTTAACAGACATCTTGCAGACGTATGTGTGCTATCTGAAAGTCTTTACTGCCACTTTTGATCGATTTAATGGGTCCTTGTTAAAAAAAATACTAACTGTCTTACTGTCCTCAAACCTTTGAACATTATTTATGTATAAGGTAATAAGTGTGAACTTGCAATGTTTAACTTATACATGTGAAGTCAGGTTCAACTCAGGTTGTCATTTCATCCAGAATTTTTTGATTTGCTTGGATTTGTGCCTGTGTGTGACTGTATGTGAGAGGAAGTGCTCATTGAGTTCTTACTCGGCTTTTCACCATCATCTTCTCAAGTTCTTTACTGATGTCTGAGAAAGTGGGGCGCTTATCTGCCTCTTGTTTCCAACAACGAAGCATCAGATTGTACCTACATAAAAATAACAGAGCATTCATCACCTGATACCCAACATCTCTGATTGTCACAATTGTTGTGTCCATAAGATTACATAAGACAAAATATAAAAATGTTAAACTGTCATAATCTATGGTGGTTTTGAAACATAATTTGTTCATTCTGCTCTTAATTCTACAATACATTCAAATGATGATATGATGACTGTTAAACACACATTTCATCTGTGCAGTTCTCCGGTTTCTCCATCCTGTAGCCTGTCTTCAGAAGGTTGAAAAGTCGTTCCGGAGCAATGCCTGGGTAGGGGTTTCCACCCAGAGTCACAATCTCCCATAAGAGGACACCAAAAGACCAGCTAATGAAAGGAATTAGAGAGAGACTGTATTAAAAAGTTGTCATGGAAGAAATCCCATTCCAGTAAACCAATTCTTCTAATGAAAAAATGAAGTGGTGATTGTTTGTAAAGATATAGGCCCGTTCACACCAAGAGCGATAACTATAAAGATAACCACAATGATAACCATACTAGCGTCCATAAACGCACAATATCGCTCTGTTTGTCGCGAACGCTGCAGTTTTCATCAGATGGGATAATCATTCTGAAAGGGGACTATATCTCGTTCCTCTGTGCCGTTATCTGTTGTGAACTCTGCTATTCTTTTATATTTAGAAATTTTTTTAGAATTACTTATTTTTCATCATCGCTATAATTATCGTCCTTGGTGTGAACGGGCCTGTACAGTTTACGCGTGTTGCATGAAACCATAACTTACACATCGCTTTGTGTGGTGTAGATGTGATCGAACAAAGACTCTATAGCCATCCATTTGACAGGAATACGACCCTAGAAATTGAGAGCACATTATGACATAGTCTATTAAATGTATAATTGCATTAAACCATACTTTATTTTACAGAATGAGACTAATATGCAATCATCTGTGAACGCTAGAATATAATACGTTTGATGTAGATAATTAAACTGAACAAATGTATCACCTTGCTCCTCTTCACATATGAATCTTCCTCATAGACATCTCGAGATAAACCAAAGTCCGATATTTTCATCTTCCTTCCCTCTGCCACTAGCACATTCCTGGCAGCAAGGTCTCTGTGCACAAGCTAAAAACATTTCCTTACATTATAACATATCTTTAAA